AAATAATGATTTAAAGAAATTGTGTCAAGAGTGCCTGAAACTTTTCCATTCAATTAAGGAACTCTCCGTCTTTCCCTTGCTTTGCCCACTATTTGTCCTTCTGCATTACTAGGTATATGTATATTATACGTGTGTGTGTGTGTGTGTGTGTGTGTGTGTGTGTGTGTGTGTGTGTTTGTGTGTATTTGTGTGTGTTTGTGTGTGTTTTCTGCTGTGGGGGGGGGTATCTTTTTTATTGTTCCTTTTATTGTTTGTATTTTTGTTTGTTTGTTTGTTTATTTGTCTGTGTCTGTTTTGCATTTATTTTGTTCTCTTTGCTATAAACTCCATGACGAGCCTTTTATTCGTCCTTTCAGACTACCCAGCTCTTTCTTACAACAACTCGATCCCGACGCAACATCCTCCCCCCGCAACCGCGCAGACCAACACATCAGCTGCAACAGGCTCGGTGACCAACAGGCTGACAACGGTGAACAGTAGAATCTATAGCCTACGTCTTTTTTCGTATTTTCGCGGAGAAGAGACGATACAATTAATTATATCGCTACCTTCAGAACTACCCGAAATACTATTTGACATTTTTGGCCGATTTCAGTTACTTAATTTTAGACCACGAGATCAAAAACCAAAATTTTAAATGTTCTGTCTACTCTATCAAAATCATAGGATTATTCGGAGTCGTTATCAAGATATTCAAAGAACTACATTTCAAAAAATCTTGACATGTTGTGAAAGTCAATTTTTTTTTTTAACGTCAAGTTTCTCAAAGCTAAGGACTGGACATATACACCATTGTAATTCTGATGTTAGGACATGATAAACTGTTGTTTTTTTAATGAACAAAACAACAGCAAAAAACCAAGGTATTAACGGCAACAATATGCCATTCATAGAAAAATGATATTAATCATTATCATTATGAACATCAGTCGGTTAAGAGACCGAAAAAAGGGTGGGCGCGGGTTGGCCTAACGAGTAATAACGTCATTCAATACTGGGAACCTGGATGTTAAAAAGGAACCAACGCTGGTTTTCTTTTTGGTTTTGGTTTGTTTGTTTGTTTGTTTATTTATTTATTTATATTTTGTGCTTTTGATTTTGAGATGGTTGTTGTTGTTGTTGCTTTTTTTTTTTT